AAAAAAAAAAAAAAAAAAAAAAGCCCCATGTAGTAGCTAAATAAGTCACAATATACTGTAAATGAAAAAGCCCAAACAACCTCTCAGACAGTAACAGATTCAGGGTTTCATAGACTTTATTAAAACAGTAGTCTTAAAACAGGGTTACATGACCAAAGTAACTTCTCCACTGGAAACTACAGTGTCCCTGCTGGAGATGGTCTCGCTGTAAACATCCCTCCCTGCAAAAAGAGGAAGGCTGAATAAAAGCAGTTAAACAAATCTTACCCCAAACCAAAAACAATAGAAGTCCCTCACTTTTCCTTGAGCAACTCTGCTCACAGGAGCTGGAAAGAGGAAGGCTGAATAAAAGCAGTTAAACAAATCTTACCCCAAACCAAAAACAATAGAAGTCCCTCACTTTTCCTTGAGCAACTCTGCTCACAGGAGCTGGAAAGAGGATGGCACACTGATGTACTGCAGTGATTAAAGATCTGAAACGAGAAAAAGGCCCATCAACCATAACATCCATTAGGACAGCGATTTGAAATTTGGAAGATAGAGGTGAAGGATGGGAATCAATACAGTTTCCTGCAGAGGAGCCAGTGATGCTGGATCCACAAACGTGAACATCTTCACAATAAAGCGCTTGTAGTGAGTTGGGAACTGAAGACTAGATGATCCGGTCACTGGAACCAATGTGGTCAGGTAATGGTCATCCTGGTAAGGGCATCTGAAAGAGAAAGGGGTTAGAAAAACCCCAAACTAGCAGGATAAACACTGCCACTACACTCACCCATAAACCAGAAGGTCCCACTGGGGTAGACCGAGTGCACTGGGGGTTGAAGTTGCCCAGCAGCGTCCCAGCATCAGGACAATGTTGGGGTCTGTCCTCTCCATAATGCGCACCTCAACATACACAGGCTCACGCAGGACTTTTGTGATGGGATAATCAGCGTCACTGTAGTAGGACGTGTAGGCCTCATCCCCTGAGGAACACCACTGGTTATTAACCAGAAACTGCTGCAACCTGGAGTCTTAAGATACTAGGAACAAGAACATACCTTCAGCACACCCTTTGGTGACACATTGGCCAGTCTAAGCTCCACCCTGAGGGGTCCAGGGGCAGCTACTGGTGGAGGTGGAGGAACAGTGTTGACCTCCACAACAAGAGCTTCTACAGAAGTGCCCGAGTACCTACACTGAAAGACAAGCCTGGACAACAGACGGGGAGCTTGTAGCATTTGTCAGAGATGAACAATTAAGAACAGCATAGATCACCTACTCAAAATGGCTGTCCCTTGTGATTGAACCAAATGGTCCCATCCCCACTTCATACGAAGTCGTCATTCTGTTCTCATACACCACATAACCACTCTCCTCCTGCAAATAGCAACACTGTTGGCATCCAGTCCATCATAGGCCATGAAGAATAAATCCATAAGCAACTACTCACCATCATTCTTGTGCCACATGCGGTCACAGGGAACTGATATACAGCAAAGGAAGGTGTGGACCCCACAGGACTGCAAGGTGGGTCATTTCCACCCAGTAGATGGACTGAATCCAGACTCAGTCGAGGCAGCGTAACATCTCTAGCCACCACTACCACAAACTGACCATCTCTTATACACTGGACAGTCACTGGAACAAAGGCAGGTTAGTGTAGAGGATCAGTTTAACTGGGAGCATAACACTGACTCAACACGCTTACCTGCCTTCCCATAGTAACACTGCTGTCCGTTAAAGCAGCAGTTGATTGCTTCACATTCAGCACCAATGATACCAGGTTGTCCACATTGGATCTGCTCATAATCAGCTACAGCACATTTGTCCAAAGGTTCTGCCTTCGGCACTTGCTTCTGAAACTGAAACTTCTGAGGTAACGGCTGATTAGTCTGTTGAACTGGCTGTTGAAACTGCTGGTCAGTTTGCTGGAGCATCAGAGCTTGAGGATTCTGGGGCAGATTATTCAACTTTGGAAGAGCATGACAGAAAGCGCACACAGTGCCAACACTTGAACCAAACCCCAACTTCCAGCCATTGCCCAACAGCTAATCACACTATTGAGATGCTGCCCTTTGGTCTTTTTGTACTCTACAGATTTCAGCTAATTAGCTATAGTCCCTCCCTGTTCATTAAGACTCATGATTCTCCAGACTTGCATTATTGATAGCTCATGCAGCAGGTTCTCGTTGGATCTTAAAATTAAATTTTCATTGTTTCCCCCATATTGAACATACATAAAAACACAAACTTGAGCTTAATTCAGAATAGCACACTAGTATTATTTCTGCCATCATCCATTCTGAATTCAGCCTTGAGTTATCCTTGATTAGCTTAATATTGTTGATGTTTTGACAATTCTGGGTTGTTTTATTTTTTGAAACACTTCTTGGAGTTGTCATAGCAACAGGCCTTTATATTCAGACAGGCTTGAGAGCATGTTTGTTTAACATAATCAGGTTTATGTTATGCCGGGTTCAGACTACACAATATTTTTGTCGGTCATGATAGTCACTGTGTCAGATTACACGATTTTGACTCCTAAAATCTTGTCGTGTCATGGACAAGAAACATGTCAGACTACACGTTGCTTCCCGACCATTCATTGCGTGCTGTCTTTAACGACGCGAGTGATGTCATCGAGAAGGTGGAATTAGCGACTGACTTCCGAAAGCAAGAGTGTAAACGTTGCTGAAGCGCTTCCGCTATAGTTCGCCAGCATTTTTCTTTCTTTGTTCTGTCGTGGTAGTCCCTCGATGACACATCATACAGGCAGGAGTACTGTTGCCACAGCTCCACGAACCTTTCCTCCATCTCATAATTCCACCTTAGCAGCACCATCATCTCTCTTTCATTTTGCCATGTTTGAAACCTGTGTATGAAAGAGCTTCTGTGCTGCTATTGGTCAACGTCA